TCAAGTGACGATTGGTTAATTTTTTTACCATCTAAATGTGTCTTATCTACTGTTTTATCTATCCATGAGATGTACGGTCACGTCGGATCAAAGTAATGTATAAGTGCTCTCAAAGAATTTTGTATTTTTTCAAATATGGACCGTAAAGTCCGTCATATATTATCTTCATGTGATATATGTCAACGTACTAAACATCAAACTAAAAGAAATGAAGGTCTTATGCAAAGTATAATTGCCGAGTTTCCTCTTCAACGTGTTCTTGTCGATTTATACGGTCCTCTACCTATTGGAATAGCGTATCTTACATATTTGTTGTTCTGGATAATTTTACACGTTTTATTCGACTATATCCTTTGAAGAAAGCTACCGCGTTAGCTATGATCAATCGAATGACTAATGATTATATTGTCACTTATGGAAAGCCGCAGGTTGTAGTGTCAGATCACGCAAAACAATTTGGCAGCCGAATTTGGCAATCACGTTTGATTGAGTTAGGCATTTCACCAACCCACACAAGTGTGTACCATCTACAATCGAATCCATCAGAAAGAGTTATGCGTGAGTTGGGTCGATTTTTTAGAACATATTGTCATGAATATCACTTTAATTGGCCACGATATGTCCCCTATATTGAATGGGTAATTAACAATACTCTTCACGAAGCTCTGGATTTACACCAAACGAATTGTTTTGCCGTGATATAAAATCATCTCATATAAAGAAAATAATACAGTTTCCTCCAGGTTCAGACTTATCCAAAGAACAGAAATATATAATGGCCCGTGAATTGCAACTTTCCAAATCAAATCAACGAAAACTGCGTCACGATCGTGGTGGCCCTGCTATTTCCTTTGAAATAGGAGATTTAGTTCTCGTTCGTTCTCATAAACTTAGTTCTAGTGTAGACCGAATGATCAGCAAATTTTTTTTATTGTACGAAGGACCATTTGTAGTAACTGATGTTAAACATCAAAATGCATATGTTGTGAACGATCCAGATACAGGAAAGCTTCGAGGTACATTTAATGTGNAAAACGGGAAAGCTTCGGGGTACATATAATGTGATCTTTCTCAAAAAGTACTTGTCTCCAATGTCTACGTCTAGTCTATAAAATGGATTCTTTTTTAAATTTTAATTTTTTTATTCAATTCTTAATAATAATTTTATATGATTTCATAATCTCATAATGTATATTTGATTGATTTATTTCAATTTATTTTATTTTTTATTCTCTTTATGCTATTTTAATTTTGTTTTTCTTGTTTTTCTTGAAGGTTGAGGTCCACTTTGAGTGTTCGTTTTCTCTTTTTGAGAAGATTTGTCACGTTGTTTCAAACCTTCTCAAGGGGGGTTTCTGTAACGTCACAAATTCGAAGGTGGACCGTTTATGATTTTTTTGTTATGTCTACTTATTTATTTTATCGCGTGAAAGAACCTTTTTCTGGCACAGTGGTGTCAACCACTCATTATTTTGCCGCTGACCGCAAGATAAAGCAATAAAAGAGAAATATAATTAAAATCGAATTGTTTATCAGTATTGATCCCTTCCAAAAAGACTGGCCGTTATCGATTTGAGATTGCCGTTAGATCGGTGTTGACTCTTTTCTATTCTTTCTACTGTCATTGACCGTGCTAGGGTGCACACGTTTATTGTTTTATTGACATTCTTTTTTCAATGATGGAGTACAGCCGCCAATGGCGAACGGCCAGGTCTTTTCGATGACGCATCCAGACCATCGGATGGGTCTCTTCGGAGACCGGGTATCGATTTTTTTATATATTATATTTATGTAATGAGCTATATTTTATTAATTATTTTATTTCATTTTTATTTTATCGTAAATTAACTTAATTTTGTTTATGTGTGGAGAGCACGTGTTCCCCTTTTCTTCTAGCCAACGCTAGGGAGCGAGTGTCTAGACCGCTCCTGGTGTTTTTCATTAATTTCCGATTAACATTAACGGATGTGTTCCAATACCGTCCGTGATGTTTGTAATATTATTTGTTTTTTTTTTTTTAAATATTTTATTTTATTTTTATTGCCTTTATTTGTAGACATGGTTTTTGATGAATTCGCATTTTTGTCCATGTTTAACTTAATTTTCTTTTTTTTTTTAATTAAATTAAATTTCCTTATTAATTTCAACTGTAATATTTATTTTATTGCGCGAGTAACTTAATTACTCGCGTGTATTTTATCCCTATTTCTTAATCTAGACACGGGCTACGGTATGTTTTACATATCAATCACATACAACTTTGATTGTTATAATTGTGTTTAATAAACCACGAGGTATTATAGTAATTTATACATATAACGACATATTAACTTAGATTATACTTTTAATTAACTTAAAATTAAATTCCACCTATGGTCCGGTAATCATATCTGATAGGTGTGACACCTCGCCTAGGTGGTGGCGACCCTTGCTACTATAGCTAGTCGTTATGCAAATGGTAAACCATGATGTTGTTACAGGGCGAATTATTAAAAAAAGCCCACTTGCAGAATGGCGACCCTAGTCAGGATAAGACATAAATGTCTTTACTTACTTTTTCTCACAATAAACCTTTTCATTTAACGTAAAATAAGTTATTTCAGTACGTTATTTGACTTATTTGACTTAGTTGCATTTATTAAACTGAACAAGCTTATTTTGTGTTGACAAAAAATATTTTTCTTTTGGCAATTTTAAATTGATTAGAAAATTTTTTTGTTGATTATTAATTACCCTTATTTTAAGCCGTACGGCGGAGTTCTATTCCCCATTTTTATTTTGGATTTTTTTTAGAACAGCTCAGGCGGCAACATATATGATATTACAAATTGTTATGTATCTTTTGTTTGAACTTTGGGTTTATAATCAGCCTTTTGTTTAAATATACATTTTTCGTTTTGAACTTTTTGTTTTTATCCTATTTATTTCATATTTAATACAACTATACTGTCTAACGTCAAATCACAGTAATTAATATTCTTATCAAAGTTGACTTCTTTAAATAGTCTAGGAATAATAACCGGTTTATTTTTTTTTTTGTAATTATTCTATAATATTAATACAATTATTATAATTAGAATATTAATAATTATTGTGTATACCAAGGGCGTATTTAATGGGGATATAGGCGATTGCTCCCCTTGAACCAGCGCTATCAATATTCTTTTAGGCGACTTCTAAGAAATATGGTTCTAATAACCTTATTTTGATCATTACTTTGATTTTTACCAAAAACATTTCTATAGCATGTTTACCAAAGTAAAAAAAATTAAATACCTATTTACAATGATTTCTGAATACGCCCCAAGTGAATACCTCAGTAACAAACATCAACCTTAAACCAATACATTTTACTATTTTCTCTTTTTGAATTTTCCTGATTTAAATAATTAAATTTTTAATATAATTTTGTTACACTGATTCTGATGTAATATTTTTCTATAAAACACTTATCGTGCCCGGCGTAGCCGGTTACTCCTATCGAAATCAGTGGCCTACTTATGATGACGGCTCGATGAGGCTTACGCCCCAGATAGGCAAAGCCTTGTGTATTACTTAAAATATTATAATTTTAGTTTTAAATATGCATTGGTTATGGGAACTACAATTATGTCATAAAACATTTTTAAATCTGTCATGTAAAAATATATATCTACTCTATTTATTAGGTGAATCTAAAAGTATGGGCAACCATTGTAAGCACTAATATTATTTTACCCCTTCAATGCAACACGTAGCGTATAGGTACTTATAAATTATTTTAGATTATATTAAAAAGAAAGATTTTATTTAATAAAACAATTTTTTGGTAAATTTTTATCAGTTCATCGATTTTTAAAATAAATAAATGCATTGAAGGGTTGAAAAAAATAAATAAATTACAACTCAAAGGACAAATAAAAATTTTATTTGCACAACAAATTTAATCACTAATGTAATTTTATCCCTTCAGTGCATCAAAAACCATATATATATATATACATAATTTGAACACAATAAAGCTGATAAACTCATACGTATCTGATTTTAGTCGCCTCTCACAAGAAGAAATTTCTTATTCATATTAAAATTATTTTACTATATTTTTACTATATGTTTTAGCTTCGATATAAAGCTGAGAAGGTATTTTTTTGTGACTATCATTTATGTTCTCTGCTTTAACTTGATCTACTTTTTTCGACGATATGTCAAATGATTACAATTCGTATCCAGTATAAGATATTACCCTCAAAAATTGAAAACATTTCTAATTTATCAATTAAACAGATACATTCAGTGGTGCATATTGCTAACATTTTTGTCGATAATTTCTCGAACATTTATAAAAATCAGTCAATATCTAATTCAAATTTTTCACATCCAAACGATTCTTATGTTATCATTAAAATTAGAACATGTATGACTATATTTTATCAGAATTATTTTTTTGTTATATAAACTGTGTTCAATTTTTTAATAATAGCACCCACCCTAATCGTATAAATTTGTCTATTTTATTGATAACGAAGCGATCCCGACTAATACAATATTGAATCGGAGTACAAGAAACGTTTAAAATTAGATTTTTGCAGTTTAAGAATTACTCTCTAGGAGTCAAATTCGTAAGATGAACTACTCATAATTTTAATTGCGACAAAGGAATGGGTTCATAGGCCCTACCTTTGATTTGACACATTAAATAGACTATATGCCATCCGCGATCATCGTTACTGTGCATATATAATGCCACTTTATACGCTCCTAATTGAATTATAAAATTATGTTTAAATAGTATTGAAAACAGAAATAATTAAATTGGAATAAATTATAATAAAAACTTTTTATAACTCAAAAAATTAACGTAAAACATGTAAATTATTTAAGTTTTTAAATAAAAATGAATTATTTATTAGTATAAGTACTTATTTTTATGTATTTACTTTATTTATATTGTGAGTAAACCTAGTAACATAAATTGGATACTATATATGTCACGCAGCACATTTAAAATCATTATGAAAATTAAAATTTTAAACTATTAAGAAAAAATTTTGTTATACATTAAGAACACGAAGTTCCAATTAAAAAAACCGCTAACGTATTAATCTTAATGGTTTTGAAGAGATGAATATGAATATTATTCTATTTTCTTTGTTTTTTATAATTACTTTTCATTCAAATTACTTAGCAAATTGTACTACACATTCTTTGGATTATAGAAGGTATGTTATTGAAGTATTAAATCACTTATGCCATCAAAATGGATGGAAGTCAATGCCACATATACGTTTAAAATACCCTTCAGTAAAAAATAATGTAATCAACATAGTAAATGAAAAAGTTACTGTTCGCAATTATGAACAAGTATATCACGATTTAGCCCACGTGCTCAATTGTAGATATACCGAAATACTTTGGTACTTTGATACTATGATCAGTTATATAATAGATAAATGCTATATGGAATTAAACATGCCCAATTTTAATAATTGCGCTATTAATGTTTTTGATGCAGTAAAATATTCAGCTATCATGTTCAATAAATTATTTAGCGCCATGAATTTTATGAGGAGCATAAATTTAAAAAACATAAATAGTACAAAAAATAATCCAACCACTATAGTAGATGAGATTAAAATGGTTAAAGAATTTATTAGTTTAATAATGGTTCAAAGACCATCAGGATTACCGACAGTTGACAAAAAAGATATTTTAGACGAATTTTTAAAAATAAAAATATCCTATGACACTTTAGATTTTAAGAACATCTTACGTCAACTTATTTTAAAAAATAACATATTTACCTCTATAAATAAAAGCGATGTTCCGCAATACTTACAAATAATGTATGACGAAAACGCTTTTAATAACTTTAATAACTTGAATATCAATGTTGGTTCAATAAAAAAATTACTTCTAACATTTTATAAGCAAATAATTCAAGATGTATACGAAGATATTGGTTTTCCTCATTTATTGGATTATGATACACCTAAGTGAGTTTTGTCGTTATGATAATTAAAATTATGACTAGTGCATTATTAATCAAATACAGGGTATTACTCTCAAAATAAATACAATACTGAAAAAAAATGATACTTTTAGCTTCGATGCGAAGCTGAGAAGGTATTAATTTTACTATGATGTGTTTTTAACACGCTTATATTAGTTTCACTTGTATGTGTAGTGTGTGATGTGTGTCTGTAACTTTCCACGCGGCACGTGATATTATTCTCGCGTATCCCGTCGTCTAGACTAGACGTCGTAACGCATTCACCCCACCCCGCTCACCTATCACCAACAACACTAATTCTGTATAATTTTATATTTTTGGTTTTCGTACCCGTACACGCGTGCGTGACATCAATTATATATATATAAACAAATTTTTATTTTGACTGACCAATACCACCCGCATGTAATACGCCTTACGTATATACAGGGTGTAAATCTTTCGAACCATAGTAATGTATGGGCGAGTATCCTGGTAAAGTGTAAAATAGGACCTCGTTTTTTTTTTTTTTTTTTTTTAAAATTGGAGGAATTTTAGAATAACCCCCCTGAATTTCTCTAAAATTAAAAATAAATCATACCACAATATTTCCCGCAAAATTCTCATACAAATTGAATGGTCACTCGATTTTTTGTAATTTTTGCGCCCTGCCCTGAACTTTGGGTTCAAAGTTGGAAAAAAATTTCACATTAGTGTGACCCATCAATTTGTATTGAAATTTCACTGGGAGTCCTGTGATGTAGTTTATTTTTAGTTTAATCGATTAAATAACAAGAAAGACCGAAAAACCCACAAATAATGTGATATTTTTTTAATTTCATTAGTTTATTTCGTCTTTTATTATTTATTCAAACCGATTATAATTTTTATCATTGAAACTGTTATAAAATTATAAAATTTTTTCTTTTTAGGTCGGGAAAATAAAACAATTATAATATTGAAATGAATATTTTTAACTTTATTACAATAGGATAATTAGAAATAATTATTTTAATGTAATCGGCACAGTACTCTTTTCCGAAATTAATCAATAATGAGAATATCGTACATCACTGAGCTTGTTAATGTTTATTTAAATGTTCGAAAAATACTGTTCACTATTGAATAGTCACTTATTAAGTTGCACATAATATTAGATAACCTTTAAAATATAGCTTCTTTTTTTGTGCAATAAAAATGCATAAATATTACATNTTTTTGTGGAATAAAAATGCATAAATATTACATATTTGTAAGTTTTTTCGGTTTTTCTTGTTATTTAATCGTTTATACTAAAAATAAACTACATCACAGGACTCCCTGTAAAATTACGATACAAATTGATAGGTCACACTAATGTGAAATTTTTTTCCAACTTTGAACCCAAAGTTCAGGGGAGGGCGCAAAAGTTACAAAAAATCGAGTGACCACTCAATTTGTATGAGAATTTCGCGGGGAATATTGTGGTATGATTTATTTTTNTTGTATGGGGAATATTGTGGTATGATTTATTTTTAATTTTAGAGAAATTCGGGGGGGTTATTCCAAAATTCCTCCAATTTTGGAAAAAAAAAAAAAAA